CAAGACGTTTTGGCCCTGATACGTGATTGTCAGAAGTGGAAGAGAAGTGTCAGCCACAGCCATGGCTTCTCAGCAAGATTTTGTGGGCCGAGTGATTGGGGCCGCTTCCCAAGGAGCAGTTGGTGCTGTGGTGGCAGCTTCGCTGAGCGCTGTAACGGAGCCCCTAGTGAACGCCATGCTGGTGAAGCGAGTCTCTTTGATGGAGGCATTGAAGCTTTTGGATCCTGAGATGATCAAGAAGTTCTTGCAGACCACCCTTGCTACCAACTTTATCAAGTTTCCCTTCTTTGAGGCCACTAACATCATCATGCAGGGCGTGGACCTGCCTCCCACGGCCAGGGGAGCTGCATTGGGATCCGTGTTTTGCACCATCACTCTTCCTATCACAAACTACCGCTTCCGCAAGTCTATGAACTTGCCAGTGACACCAGGCAATCTCTACCAGGCCTATGGACCGACTGTGCTCCGGGACATCATCTATGGCATTGCTCGCAACAAGGTTTCCGTCTTCCTCAACAACTTGAACCCCACTTTTGCAGGCACCATGATGGGCCGAGTTGTGAACATGTTCGCCACTGTCGTGGCGGCATGTGTTCTATCAGCCCCAGGCAACGAGTTGCGCGGCTACTGCTTGCAGCCACCGGACCGCAAGCAGTCCTTTGGCGACTTCTTCCAACCAGCCAAGTTCATCAGAAGCACATCCGTGGGTGCTGTGATCATGGGCATTAGCTTGGCCATTGGCACAATGGCGACACCGCAGGTGGAGAAGCTCGTCGGGGTTGTGAAGGAGTACTTGCAGAAGAACCCAGTGACTTGGTGATTCTTTTCAGATGCTTGTTGAACATGCTTGTTTTGCAATTCCAGATTCTGCACTGTGCGCAACGGTGCGAAAGAGGACTTGTTTGGGTGAAGAGATTTTTTTTCATGTCTTTTGTTCTATCGACTCTATCGACCGAGGTGAGCTATGTCTTGATCGTGCTCTTCGTGCTCCAGCAGATCTTAGCCATGAAGCGCCAGGGTGAACTGGTGGAGAGCATGGAGAAGAGGAGCCGGGTCCTGCGTGGTTTCTGCGCGGGTCTGCTTTTCATTGTGGTTGCCGTAGGTTCAGTACAATTCGCTGTATTTTTGTAGGTTCTGAAGTGTGAGTTTCTCGTTTTTTTCCCGAATGCGTAGCGAAGGGTTCCCGTTTATAGTTGGGGGTCTGGGGGTTGGACCTGTGTTTGCATGGCTTGCGTCGTGTCGTCGTCTCTCGTCGTCTCTCGTCGTCTCTCGTCGTCTCTCGTCGTCGTGTCGTCGTCGTCGCGTCTCAAATTTGCTGCCATTGGGGGAAGCTTTTGCAAGTGAGTTTGCATGGATGCGTCACGTGTCAGTTTGCACCGCTATTCCATTGTGATTTGCATGACAATGACATGTCGTTGCAAGAAACGAGATGCATTTCGCTGCACAGGCGCAGCGTTTTGTGAGATCCACAGATTGCTGCGCAGCTCCATTGGGATTAGCGTTTGGAGAGTCGTGTTTTTGGGGTGTTGGATGTGGCCGTGCCATTGGGATTTGCGTTTCAGGGTGTGGCATCGAAGCTCGGTTTTCGTGGCAAGTCTCAGCTGAAATGGCGATTTTGGTGGATGGGAGTGTGCTCAGAACGGGTCGAAATCATTCCAAACGTGTGGTGTGGTGCAAATTTTGTTGAAGCTCACATGCGATGATATTGTCACTTTTCGTGGCAGGCGCAGGACTTCGTGCGGGTTTTGAGGCGTGGAAGTGCGATTCTCGTGGCAGGCGCAGGGAATCGTGAGGTTGCGAGGTGTGACGGAGGTGACATTTCGTGGCAGGCGCAGTACTTTGTGCGCGTTAGACGTGTGGACGCGGAAAGATTCGTGGCAGGCGCAGGGAATCGTGAGGTTGTGAGTTGTGGTAGAGGTGAATGTCGCTGTCACATTGGGATTGGTGTGTGAGCGGATGTTGTTTGGAGGGGCTGGAATCGCGAAACTGCTTGGCAGGGCTGCGTGATGTATGTGCTCCGATGGGTGTTCCCGCTTGACTTTTGGAGGAAGTCTCGTACGAAACGCTCGTTTTGCAGACTTTGACGTGTGAGTTTTTGAGGAAGTCTCGTACAAAACGCTCGTTTTGGAGACTTGACGCGCAACCCTCTGCGGAGATCGTGCGTGTCGAGTGTGCGAAATGCAGGCGAGAGCGCGATTTGTCCCATATGCGCGCAACCCTCTGCGGAGATCGCGCGTGTCGAGTGCGCGAAATGCAGGCGAGAGTGCGATTTGTCCCATGCGCGCGCAACCCTCTGCGGAGATCGTGCGTGTCGAGTGCGCGAAATGCAGGCGAGAGTGCGATTTGTCCGGTGCCCGCGCAACCCTCTGCGGAGAGCGTGCGTGTCGAGCGCGAAATGCAGGCGAGCACTGGCGACTTTGTAGTGCAACTTTAGTACGCGAAGTATCTGGGGAGCTGGAAGATGAGAACTGGTGACTTGGTAGTACAACTTTAGTACGCGGAGCAATCTGTGGAGCTGGAAGCTGA